CTGTCTGTCTGTTTGTCTGTCTGTCTGTCTGTTCGGGGTTGGCGGCTACACTAGGTCTGCCCCGAGTCTGAAATTTGGGGTATAGGGGTAGCTCGGACCGGGAAGTAACACAGGCCAGGTGGCGTTAGTCTACCACTTCCGGTTTCGGAGTTATGACCCCCAAGCGAAGCCGGTCTGTTCGAGGTTGGCGACTACACTGGATCTGCCCCGAGTCTGAAATTTGTGGTATAGGGGTAGCTTGGACCGGGGAGTAACATAGGCCAGGTGGCGTTAGTCTACCACTTCCGGTTTCGGAGTTATGACCCCCGAGCGAAGCCGGTCTGTTCGGGGTTGGCGGCTACACTAGGTCTGCCCCCAGTCTGAAATTTAGGGTATAGGGGTAGCTTGGACAGGGCAGTAACATAGGCCAGGTGGCGTTAGTCTACCACTTCCGGTTTCGGAGTTATGACTCCCGAGCGAAGTCGGTCTGTTCGGGGTTGGCGGCTACATCTGCCCCGAGTCTGAAATTTGGGGTAAAGGGGTAGCCCGGACCGGGGAGTAACATAGGCCAGGTGGCGTTAGTCTACCACTTCCGGTTTCGGAGTTATGACCCCCGAGCTAAGCCGGTCTGTTCGGGGTTGGCGACTACACTAGGTCTGCCCCGAGTCTGAAATTTGGGATATACGGGTAGCTCGGACCGGGGAGTAACATAGGCTAGGTGACGTTAGTCTACCACTTCCGGTTTCGGAGTTATGACCCCCAAGCGAAGTCTGTCTGTTCGGGGTTGGCGGCTACACTAGGTCTGCCCCGAGTCTGAAATTTGGGGTATAGGGGTAGCTCGGACCGGGGAGTAACATAGGCCAGGTGGCGTTAGTCTACCACTTCCGGTTTCGGAGTTATGAACCCCGAGCGAAGTCTGTCTGTTCAGGGTTGGCGGCTACACTAGGTCTGCCCCGAATCTGAAATTTGGAGTATAGGGGTAGCTCGGACCGGGGAGTAACATAGGCCAGGTGGCGTTAGTCTACCACTTCCGGTTTCGGAGTTATGACCCCGAGCGAAGCCGGTCTATTCGGGGTTGGCGGCTACACTAGGTCTGCCCCGAGTCTGAAATTTGGGGTATAGGGGTAACTCGGACCGGGGAGTAACATAGGCCAGGTGGCGTTAGTCTACCACTTCCGGTTTCGGAGTGTGGATTTGACTTCATTACTTAACAGTACAAATAAATTTTTGGGTAACCATCTAAATCGAGTAACAGATTGAGAAGGGTCATCTAACTATCTTTGTGTATCATCTATATATATATTTGTGACTGTCGTTTGTCTGTCTGTCTGTCTGTCTGTTCCTAGAACAATGGTGTTATAAACTATAGTCCATCTCTTTTTTAAGAATAAAACTGCATTGATTTTAACAAATTTAACTTTTATTAAATAACATTAAATAATTTACACATATACAAATGTATTGATTTTAACAAATTTAACATTTATTAAATAAAATAATTTACATATATAAAAAATGCATCATGGATGACAAAAACGTATCAACTTTAATTTTTACATTATCTGGTTGATTATTGTGTTCGGATCCAATAGTGGTAAGAACATCATTCTTGGTGTTTACAATAGCTGGACGGTATTTGGTCTGCTTGACTTTATTTGTGTATTATATTTCGGCCTCCTCGATTATTGGATTAAGAGTTCATTAACGCCGAACACCAGTGAACAGTTCTTGAGTATAGTTTTAAGATCAATTAAAGGATTGACAGTCTGCCGGCATAGTGGGAACATACCCTCGAATCGTTTGGACTGCACGCGATGGTAGAGTGTTGTGTTATTTAATTAGGGGATTAAGGAATCAGTCAGGTGTTAATAGGTAATTAAGGAATAAACTGTGACGTCACTTGCGCCTGAGAGGATTAAGAGTGTTTTCGATAATTGGCAAAGTCGTTTTTACGAGAGGTCTCTTTTTTCGACTTTGCGTGAAGATAGCTAAATTAATATTAATCAGATTCCCATACTTACCGAAACGTATTGTCGTCCATCTTATGTGCACTTTAAATTACTGACCTTATCTCCAAAAAATTGACAAATACCTTTTGCCAGTTGTTGGTTACTGGTGCTAGAGGGAAGCTTACTAGATACGCAAACCGTGAGAGATTTCACAACTTTGAAAGGTCTTTAGAATCTGACGAATCTAATTTAGAAGTGTAATATTTCGATTTAGCATGTTCAATTTTCTTCACAACCGCTTCTGCCTTGGATTTATATATTTCCTTGTGTACCGCTAACTCCGATTTCCGCCATACTCTCTAAGATTTTCTGCGCTCCTTCCTAGCCTCATGAATTTCATCAGTGTACCAAGACTTGAGATTTGTACCGTTAGATTTCCTAGATTTCCGAGGTACTACCAAATCGAGAGATTTTGTAAGATTGGTATTGTAGTCGTTGACCAGAACATTTATAATATCACCTGGATCTTTTAGAAAGGATTTATTTCGTTCCTGAGCCAAATAATGTTCAACATCAAGATTTTTCAGTTTTCTGCGAGCCATTGTTTTCACAGAATTCGTTTCGTGTTGGAATGTCACATCACCAATTATCGGATGATGGTCCGAAATAATATCATCACACACAGTAACGTATTCCACAATATCTGTTTTTTAAATCACTATTTTTTTGTTATTTGGAGGAAATTATCCGTATTAGCATAGCAATATCCGTGATTTGGGGTGTATAACTCGTATTGTTACCATAAAATCTGTTCTTTTAGAAACATCGGTATTTTTATCAATCTGATTAAAAACAGATCTATATTTCGTCTCGTTTTTTTATACTTTCGATGGCCTTCACTACATGAAGATATGTCCAATTGTACTGGGAGGTGGCGTCAGGGGTCATACGAGCGGCTTTTGACCCTATGATGTCAGGCAATGATTAATCAATCAGCGTTGACGTTTCTATGGATTTACCCACAGTTCCCTGCAGAGCACGCCAAGAACTCGCCGTAACAGACCGTTTCATTGACTAATTACTTACATCAACTAGATGGCCTGTTATATACTCTTCAAAAAAAGCAGGGGATATTGAAATGTAAATACCTATGCAGGTTGCGATATGATAAATAGTCATGGATACTTGACATGCTTTGAGAGTATGTTCACAGATGAAGAACTTATCGCCCCAACAGAACCACTGAGCTGCATGGCGCCATACGCGTGGGATGGGTTTATTGTCAAATGAATGGTTGATGAAAACTGCCGCTTGCTGGTTTATCCTATCCATGTTTGCTTTCCTATTGGTTCTTGCATAGGATTTACTTTTTAGCGTATCTTTGCTTTAGTGTTTTACGTTTAATTTGATCGGGAGACGTGTTCGTCAACGTCAACGTCAACCGACAACACTGCAAGAATTGGAAGTGGCACTGCAAGAGGATTGGATCAGATTGCCCCAAATCGTGATTGGGCGGTTGATTAGGAGCATGCCACGACGAATTGCTGAATGTCTGAGGATTGGTGGAGCAATTACTCATTATTAAGACAAATCAAAAACGTCCATTTTCACTTTTGACAGTGTATCTCTTTGCGAGTGAAATGGGGCCGTCAGATAAACCGCCCATATGAACTGTTTATGTTCATGTGTAGTCAATTGGCCTGATATTAACATACAATGGTTACCTCTAATAAAAACAGCAGTGCATTTCCGCAGTTTTGTATTGTTTCTGAATATCCTCTACTTTTTTTTATGAGTATATAACAACTCTTCTAGATCCTAGTGTTGTGAAGGCAAGTAGCACGAAATTTTGAACTATAAAAAACGAAACGAAATAGGATCTGTGTTTTAATCAGATTGTATTTTTACATTCTTTTCAGCATATTAACCGTTATAATCTGTTTATTACCAATATAAACTTATACACTTTAAAATCCCTACTTCTTGTTATTTGAAGGACATTATCCATATTATCACAGAAATATCTGTTATTTGAAATAGATAACTTGTATTTTTACGATAAAATCGGTTGTTTTAGTTGCATTTCTGTATGTGGACAGAAACGTCTGTATTTTTACACACTTTTCAGTATATAAGCTGATAGAAACTGTTTATTAGCAATATAAATCGTATCATTAATCAAAAGACCTGTAATATTCCAGAATAACTTGTATAATAACGGCACTGTTCTGTTAATTCACATAGTTACACTGCTGTTGGATTCGGTTAACGCATGCGCGTCACAGACTTAAATTATGGCGGTGAAAATTCGAATATGCGCTGACGATGCACAGTAAAGAACAGAGGGAAATTCACAATAAGATGTGAAGGTAAGTCTTACTAATAATATTTATGTAGAATGTTCAAACTAGAATGTTCAAACACGATGTAGATATCCATTAGGTGAATGTATTGGCTGAATTCAATGATACAGGTTATGTATAATATAATCATAACTTAGTTTGGCATTTAACGTGGTTATATATTATTTTGAAATCTGGTACGAATCATTGAAGTCATGAGAGAATGAATCATGTCGATTTTCAGCCTGCTGCGACTTTTTGTTCTACAAAAAGCTTATGAAAGGGATATAGGCTATAGTATAGCTTTGTGGTCATGAGAGGACGAACCCTATTAACTTTCAATTTCATCATATTTACATACTCTTGCGTTTATATTTAATATAGGTGTAGCTCCTTAAGGCACTGCTGTCTGTCAAGTCTGTCAACTCCACCAGAATCCTTACTTGATTAATCCGCCCCTCGTCACATCATCCTCTAGTTTTTGAGCTGAGGGCCCCGGGTTACAAAATGATAAAGTGACAGTTAGTCTTTATCTGTTTTTTCATGTCATGTAAGTGAACCCGACCAACTTTAAATGTTTAGCTGACATATAATCTGTTTTTACTTTTCTTGGTTTTGTGTTGATTTTGTATTGAATAATTGAATGTGTTTATAGAACATGGTTAGGATTTATTTGATATGCTACATTTGGTTTCTCGTCTTTTATATACTTGTATAATGCTCAACTTACCTTGGCAAATCACCGACGCGTCTTCTCCATGACCACAATCTTCGTTTCCCCAACCACTATGAGAACATTCAGCTAGTGCCATGTTAGATGCTTGACAATTAACAGCAGCTAACCAAATTTGACCAGTACCTCGTCCAAAACTGGCATCTGGGAGAGCAACCGCCCCGGTTCTAAAAAAAATAGCTCTAATTATATATATGGAATATGCATTAATTCAAAAATGTAAATTTGGGATTAAATAAGGACTATATCACTGACTAGCTGATACAGTTGACTTATGATAGCGATCCAGAGCCTCAAATATGTGCACTAATAAAAACATTCACGTGAAAATGTTCATTCAATTATTTATCAATGAAGCCCTTAAAAATATCTCCTTTACACGTTGGACTTTTGAAAATAATTTGATACGAAACTTGGATAAAACTCGGCGATTTTTTCATTTAGTTGAATGAACAGGTTCTCAATTCAGAGTCACCTCGTGCAGTTTCGTCCTTTTCTATCTTTTAATCTCACGCTCGCAGCATCTTACTGACTCTGCAAGACTGTGAAATTTACTTTTACGTCCGCGAGTTCAGAAGTTGGGTTTTTGTTAGCTCTAAATGCCTTGTAACAAAATATACTTTACCATTTGATTTGAGCAATCTGACCAAACAGCTCTGGGCAAACATTACAAGTCATGTAATATGGATTATTAATAAATTCCAGACAATTTCGAATTTTAATTAAAATGTAAAACAGGTACATATTCTTGGGGCTACTATCAGAAATGAAATGAAATGAAATGGGGTTTAACGTCCTACTGTTCTGCTCCTAAACTGGGCTAATGAAGACGCACATATACGCCATACAGTGTGCTATGAGGGAAATTTTGCCCGGGCAGCGGCACTATCGCCTATTCTTATATCGAATTCCAACTGCCACGGGATCTTTTACGTGCATTCCAATGTATACACGGGACCTCTGTTTTTCGTCTCATCCGAAGGACTAGACAGCCGTCCTTGTCAGACCCTCCGTCCTGCATCACAGGCAAGGGGGAGCCACGCCGGAAAATCTGGATGAACTTCCTCGGCCAATGCAGGGATCGAACACCCGACCTCCAGGCTAGCGAGCCAGCGTCTTACCCACTTAGCCACGTGATCCCCCGGCTACTATCAGATGATCTGAGCGTGTTTAGTAGCAACGTTCCTGGGATACCTAGCGTTAGGGTCAACGCGATAGAGAGATTCTGATTCACAATCCATGCCGAGATGTTTAAATTATACTCAACATATTTTTGACATAAAAGGAATAGCATTGTTATGTAAAAAAAACATTTTCGTGTTTAAAAATCATATGTTATGTCATTTATTATTACACAAACACTTGATAATGTGAATTTATTGTCAACTAAGGCACATTTTTTTTTATTTTGTCGTACTACACCATTTTTGCTTATGCTTTTACAACCGTTATACCATATGTCTTGGTGAAATTCGAGTGCTGTATCAGAACGTATTTCGCATATGAATCTTTTATTTTGTATTTACCTCACCAATTTAAAATAACTATTGTTTCTCGAACTAACCGAAGTGATATCGTTATTTAATATCTAATAGCTCCCACATCAACTTTTTTTTTTAATACGAACTAAATTATTCATTTTTAAAAAAGTTAAATTATTTGATCTATTGAGCTATCATATCGCGCTCTCGTGTTTAAAAAATTAAACGGTATACATATGCTACGAAGAATCCCGATTGAGTTCATTAAGTATTCGTTACAAGGCGAAGGTTGAAATTCAAATGTGACCAAGGACATTAACTCTTTATGATAAAACAAAAAAATCTACCGATGCAACACCATAGGTACCAGTTAACTTTCGACAAAGTTACAAAAAATATTGAAATGTTAAATCAAACAAAAATCCAACTTAGATTTAATTGTTTATGAATGGTGTTTTTAATGGTAAGTCTTATCATATATTTAAAAATAAGCCCCACATATAGCTCGTTTATTGTACTTATAAACCTAAGCCATGCACAGATAGTGGTTAGAAATCATACAGTAGTCCATGTTCCTGAAGCAACGACTGCAAGTTTTACAACATCTGGCCGTTGCTTGTTTACTTCTATAATTCCCGAACTTATAGCTATGTTATCTACAGACATGTGAGCAGTAGCTTCCAATCTGAGATTGTGACATCGCGACCTCCACGGAAACCGTTGAATGAACCTTGAACTTTGCAACTCGATTATCACAGGTAGACATTTTAGCTTGAAAGCGCGAGACTTGGTATTCGCGACAATCGAGGAATCTGACAGGCTCACAAGTTGGGCTTGATAAGATGTACGTAGTCATTGAGATGACAGTAGTCATTAATTAGCAGGTGTGTAACCAGTTATAAAAGATGCCACTAATGGTGTATACATTTTTAGACACCAAGCCTGCAGTGAGGGGGGGGGGAGCATACCATACGACCGACCTGGCACCTAAACACTAACCCTACTAAGATGACATATAGATGTCCGCATAAAGATCAAATACCAAATAATATGTTTTTGATTTTAAAAAAAGGAAGAACTTCACAGTAAACCACTCCATCGCTCTCTTATTCTTGTCTGCGATGTCACTTTAGTGGAAGCAGACATCAAAAAGCAACAATATTCACGCCTTTAACACCTTGTGGCAACTATTTTTATTTAAAAAAGTATTTTTGTTCAAGTCAATGATATTAACATTACTGTGTATTATACACGATATCCGACAGTCCATAGCAATAAAGCGAACCAATAACACTGAAAATCAGTATACAAATCATTGTTTAAAAAATTCATATACATGTACGTGAAAGCGAATAAGGCGATTTGTTTTGAAAAGCACGTTAGTCTTTAATAGCAGAAGTAACATTTCTTTACATAATAAAGCATGCCAAGATATATTATCAATATATATATTATAAAAAAAATACGTAGAAAAAAGGAATAACCACATGTTTTTTGGCTAACGTTTTCAGTTCTCCTGAACCTCTTCAGGGGCCGGTTGCTCAAAACTCAGCTATTTAAAAGATCGTTATCTTGATAACGTGCCGTTAAATTTCTGTTGATTTCAACACTGCATGGTTTAATAATATTCTAACATTTTAAAGTACTTTTCGTTCGTCTTGGGACTATTCATAAATAATGTCATTACATAGGGATGGACACCATAGTACATGTATATTCATAAATAATGTCATTACATAGGGATGGACACCATAGTACATGTGTATTTATACATACAGTATTTACATAGTAACACTGTGGTTTTAATTGGCTATAGTTACCATTGTCTATGGTTACATAGTATATAGATAACTAACGGAACCCATATATATGTTACAGGAAACAAGCATAATCAGTAATTATGTATAATTACTGAAATTTTCAGGTATTATGTATAACAACTGATTCACTCAGTAATTATGTCTAATTACACGTGCTTTAATCTGTTGTATGTGTGTACAATTTAGGAACAATGAGTGGAAGATAATCTTGGGATAGATTAAGAACATTAATGTAAAATTAACGGGGTTTTTTTGTTTGTAGTAAAATGGTGTTCCATTAATTTACTTTTTGTCATGTCACCGACTTTCATTTTATAAAAGGGAAAATTTGAAATTTCACTTGTAGGTGTTGTACACGTAAGTGCCAATTTTCAATAATACAATCCCGTTGCGTACTCTATTCCGTAGATGTGTATGGAAGGGTATCGCTGCCAATATTAAATGGCCTGTGACAATGTCGTTTACATTGATGGTACGTAATACCGGTAATGATAAAGTCAAAATACCTCTAAGGCAAGAGTTAAATGTAAAACGTCAAATGGTAAGTGTCAAATGACAAATGATTTGTTAGAAAATTATTTGATTGACGTGTCTACATTTTACTCATTACGTTTTATATTTGCGCTCTGCCACATCTCATTTCTCCTATTGTTTTGCTCCGAACTTGGTTAATGAAGACAGGCACACTATAAGGATTTTCACCGCACGATAACAGTAAATCAAGCTGGTACACTATAATAAACTATCTAGACGACCGTGCGTAATCCCGAATGTGCCAGGATATAATTGATAGATTCAAAGAGCCAAAGAAATATACTTTCCAGTAATTTAAAACAAAATAACTGGAATTTCGTATAAATACCCGTATTTTGACGGTCTTTCTATCAACAGAGTTAAGTACAGTCTAATTAACCTTGTTCTATTAAGAAAAACCCAAAAATATGTAAGCATTAAATGATATATTTAAAGAGAGGAATGACAATACATTTTTAGCTTAGTTTAGCCCCCCCCCCATCCTTCCTTCACTTCAACTTTAATCTTATTTTGTAAAGTTATGCAAATATGATTGTGCCAAAAACTATTTGCATATTTGAAAAGAGCAATCAGTGATACGTAACATGGTATCTGGAATTTCGTATTTAGACCAGTATTTTTACTTAATAGGCCTTTAATGGTGTTTCCTACCACGCGATGTTTTTCAAGGTATGCTAATCTAAATGTGCCAGTTAATTATTTACATATTTCTAAGCAGCAATGGGCGTGCTTCTAGCGATAGGTAGCATGGTATCGAGAATTTCGGATTAAGACCTGTATTTTAACATTGAATACACCCCACCCCCTCCGCAATCATGGCAATAGATTTTAGTTCCATCCAACTTTGGTCGTTTTGCAGGGAGTGTGAATGTGCCAGAAGATTATTTACATATTTGAAAAGAGCAGTTATAGGTAACATTTTGGATTTTTTTCTATCAAGACTCGTTTTTTAAAACTGAATACCCCCCCCCCCCCACACACACAAGTACACTTAAACCTGCATTATGCAAGAGCTAAAACTGTCTTATTGCAGTTCCTACGTTGGGTCTTAAATAAATTAGTAATTAGGCAAATTAACTAATCCACCAGACCATAATCGATGACATCGTTAGTCTGTGATATTTATTGGATTTGAATTATGAAAACACGATTGTACTAGAAAACTATTTACATATACTCAGCCAAATTAAAAACTTGACACTTGGGATTTTTGGGACTAGATTTTTAATATTTGGTTTAAGGCAACTATTTTAGTGTTATGTTGTGCACAGATGACCTTGACATCAACAGAAAGCAAGAATACGTCTCGCCGAAAGTCCTTGACATTGATAACGTTCGTGATGTCACAGTACCCCCCAAAATGAAATTCACAGACTTGGAGAACAATCGGAATAAAGTGTTTAGTAACGGTTGTGGCCTCCTCTAGCGTCTCGTACTGCCACACAACGTCTTCTCGTGGATCTCAGAACATTAGTAAACACTACCCGAGGAAGACGTCGCCACTGCTCAGCAAGAGCATGTTGAAGGTCCTGCAACGTCAGTGGTGGATTCACTTGCTGACGAACACGTCGACCCAGTTCGTCCCAGATGTGTTCAATAGGATTAAGGTCGGGGCTAAGCGACGGCCAATCCAGGACTTGGGACACCGGCATTTCTTAAAAATTTCTGGGTAGCAATTGCTGTATGGGGTCTAATATTTGTCTTGTTGAAACGTTAGTCCAGGCCCATGTCTCTGCATGAACGGAAGAAGAACAGGTTGCAAAATCTGATCCCTGTACTGGACAGCATTTAAGTTCCCTTGGACAACAACAAGAGGAGAACGTCAATGTGCACAAAAAGAACCCCAAACCATGACGCTGCCGCCACCAAATCGGTCACCTTCTCTGACGCATACTTCAGCGTAATGTCACCTCGTCTGCGGTACACTCGGACCCTGCCATCGTTAAATCTCAAAGTGAATCGAGATTCGTCACTAAAGACAACCGAATTCCACTGTCTTTGAGTAAATCTTATGTGTCTTGTGACCCACACAAGTCGGTTACTGCGATGAAGAGGTGTCAATATTGGTCCATTATAGAGCCTCCGAGCTCGAAGACCAGCAGTCTGCAAGCGATTTCGAACAGTTTGTGCAGTTACCCTTCCACCAAACATCTCTCTACTTGTGGAGGTTGCAGTGACAAATCTGTTTCTAAGATGACGTAATCGTATTGCTTGATCTTCCTGGAGTGACGTCACACGTGGCGCTCCCGCCCTTGGGCGGTCGGCAATAGTTCCAGTTTGAAGCACTCTCATTCTAAGATTAATTATTGTCTGGCGTGAACAATTAAAGGCTCTTGCAACAGTGACCACAGACTGACCAGCATAGAGCCTACCTATAGCACGTAGACGTTCTACATTTGAAAGGCGCGGCATTTTCTAACAAAGATGAAAATAACAATTTTAATTTGTTTTTCCAGTTCAAGTTACGTGTGCGTGTTCAGTTTAAGCAAACTTGCATCGATTGACCTCACGAGTTTGTGTTTGCACGTGTTTTTCAGGTTTTTCATCTTTATATGCTCAAAAGTTACGTGATCCACGTGACTTTACAATTTTATGAAATTAAAGGCTTCTTACTACTTACTATCGTTAGAAACACTTTAAAAATTTATTTGACTTACCAGAAAAATTTTTTTGTTGAAATTCATCAGTGTCAAGTTTTTAATTTGGCTGAGTATATTTACAAATAGAAATGAACGTGCTTTTCACTAATAAGTAACATGATACCTGCTGGAAATTCGTATTTGGACATTATAAAGTAGATCCAAAGTTTCAAGGTAAGTAAATTTCCACCCCAAACTTAGGCTGCCTGACTACAGCTAGCTCCGCCTGAGAACAAGTATAAAGTAGATACATCGCTGTGTGCAGTATGGTAAATTTCTTATTGTGTGCTAAGCTAATTTCCTGTTATAGTGTCGTGAATATTTGACTTTTTACATTTAACTCTTGCCTTAGAGGTATTTTGACTTTATCATTACCGGTATTACGACTTTGTACATTGTACTTTTTACATATAATCAATGGAAAAGGCATTGTAGCAGAGAATTTAATATTGGCAGCGATATCCTTCCATAGATGTGTGCCAGTATCTCCGATATAACATTTTTGACACAATTACATGTCAAGACACATGAGATTTTTTTGTGTCACAATAATAGACCGGAGACACAATATTAATTGTAGCCTGGGGTCTCAGTGGCGGGAGTCCATCAAATGGGCACAAAACCAGACCCAACTTTTCTATAGTAAAATTTCGCGTAGAATACGTTGCCGAGTGGTAATCAGTCCGCCTTTGGGGCGTTTTCGAGATATTCGGGGTTAAAGATCGAATGAGGTCATTTGCACTGAAAGTAGGCTGTAGTGCCGCTGTCCAGGCAAAATTTCCCACATAGCACACTGTATAGCGTATGCCCGTCTTCATTATCCCAGTTCGGAGCGGAACAGTGGGACGTTAAACCTCATTTCATTTCATTTCCGAATATCTCGAAAACGCCCCAACGGCGGACTGATTACCACCCGGCAACTTATTCTACGCACAATTTTGGTATAGAAAAGTTTGGTATGGTTTTGTGCCTATTTGATGGACCCCCGCCACTGAGCCTCCAGACTACAATTAATATTGTCGTTGACAATAATAGTAAATTTATGAAAATTATATTTCTTATTTGGCGATGTATGGTCGCAACATTTACATCGAAGATCCGGGCATTTAGATACATAACAACCGGTCCTTGTGATATAATTTTGCTTTGGTTAGGGGGCGTTCCAGATTAGGTGGTGGTCTTTGTGATTTAATGAATTATTTCCCGTGAAACAAAGTAGTTCAGCTTTACTGTTGTGTTAATATTTTGGATACACACACACACACATATATATATATATATATATATATAAGAAAATGCCGAGGAAATATAAATTATATTTACGGGCTAAATCCAAGTTGTCGACAAACAACGGACGCATCTATATCGTCCCAACCATCATCACAGACTGTGCCCCATATACCATTATGGAACACTTCAACTCTTCCTTCGTGTGGTACAGATCCTCCAACTAGTCGTATCTGTTGGGATGCTATAATGAAATAGTCAAAACCTTAATATAACATATTACTGACACCCTTACACCTAAAGCCTCACAAAACAAATTTCATTAATACTATTTAATACCACACTCATAAATTGTATACCAAATATATATTGGTACTTCACCACACAATGGTAAGAGAGACATGCCTTAACTACTGACATTTCGCAAGTACAAACAAGTAAAATGTTCATATACGAAACAATTCTTACACACTGGATTGCGCGTAAAATGATATTTAACATTTTAAATTTAGAGAGGATAATGTGAAATACCGAAATTCTCCCAACCCTCACATTGCACATAGTGACATTCAGTGGCATGGTGAAACGGTCGCGGTAGATGGGCGAGATTGTGTAATGACGCCCCAATGGAGATTAGCAGATGCAATAGGCGTGTGTGGGGGGGGGGGGTGGAACTGTGGCTATTTGCCCGAAAATTTTCTCCGGAATATTTAGAATGAATCAATCATATATATTCTCTGGTAGATGCGGGTAAACAAGTTTGGGTGTATGAATATAAAATCGTAAGCGCTTATTAAGGAGGATGGGAAAGAAAGGCATTGATAATAAAGTTAGGTCATAAGTCCTTATTTCTATAAAACAGAGAAAAAACCAATTCTAAATACAAGGAAGCAATCGGAAAAGCTCCCCCAAAATTGAATTAGTCCCCCCCCCCCCAATATTTCGCAGACAATAATGATTTTTTAGGAGTGTTCAAATTGGTAGGCGATCCGCGCTCGTAGCATGGTCCACCGAGGCCTGCCTGTCATCATCACCTCCTGATCCTCTTGTCTTGATACCATACGTGCTTTCTACATAACTACTGTGGGGCGTGTTGGTCTACTGTCACTGACCACGTGTACTCGCTCATCACACTCACGACTCCTCTCGTTTCGCCTAGTCCTACCAGCCTAGCACCCGACTCGTGTCCAGAGTTGCCATTTGCACTGGCAGAACTGTTGAACATTTTTGAACGTTTTGAGATTGAGAATTCGTGATGCATTTGTGATAGAAAGAGACCATCGTCTTCTGATGACGTGACATCATCGTCTACCACACCGGCACCAGGATCAGCAGCACCTCATGCCAACGATTCACCGCCTGACGTCCAGTCCAAGACGAGAGCGCCTTTATCTGATCTTGGCGATGCTGTGCCAGCCAAGCTCCGTGTAGTGAACCCACCGAAAACTACGTTTGGGGAACAGACTCGCTCATTTCAAAGTAAGTGGTACACCGACCGTTCTTGCCTCGAGTACTCGTTTCAAAAGGACGCGTGTTTCTATTTTCCGTGCCGGAAATATCTTTCTAGTAATGAAAGAGATCATGTTTTTACGCCTATACTGTAATTCTATGAATAGAATAATACAATACCTTGCAATTTGATACTACAGCGTAAATCAAAAGACACTCTCTACTGCCCTCAAGATGATATCGGCGGGAGAAGTCGAAGAAGGAAATTTCAGTAAATTCAGCCATAAAAACATGCCCCAGGCACTTCAATTTGAGGCCCAGGAATGCACTCAGATGCGAGGAGAAGGCATCAAATTTTCTGGGGGAGGTATTTGTGTGGGGATTTGTCTGGCGAGCCCTTTCTCGGCAACACATTATAATCCTTGAGTGGCATTTAGCGATTGAACACATTAAAAACACAACACAGTTTATATGGAAATACAATCACTGGTTTTATAGTGGTTTATAGGCATAGCACGACGTTGCGGAATGAAAACACTGGTGATACCGAGGGTGGTAATTTGTAGGCTAGGCACTTGACTGATGGTGATCATGCTGCAATAGAACTAAGCTCAGCTCAGCTCAGCTCAGCTACTCATACGTTATACACTGCGCGAAAATCTGTAAAGCTCTAAAACTACATTAACGCAGCGTATCACGTGAGGATACGGATTAGTGATACAAATTGGTAAAATTCCGCTTGCCAGAAGTCTCTAGTAGGCTTAGCAAGTAGACGTAGCTAACAATAACAATTATCCTGATACATTGTTAATGCCTGGTTTGCGAGGATGCTGTGTTAATTATCACTGCAACCAGGACGTTTAGAAATATATTTAGTCATACGCAATAATAAAGAGGAAGAATACTATATCATAGACATATATTAAACACTACGAATGGGTAAAATTCCGCTTGCCAGAAGTCTGATACAGGTTTATACACACCAAAGGCCTATGACGAAATAATTGTTATTTAGCCCACAGTTTGTGTCTTTTGGACATTTCTAGTTATTTTATAACTTCAATCATATTGCTTTCTTCAGTTCATAGATGGATAATTAACTGTTATATAGTTCATAAATTTGTAATTATGCTAACAACACAATTAAGGTGTTATACTGTATACATCTATTATTACAACTTTCTTTTGTCTATATTACATTTATGTCTTTGTTACCCCCTGATTATTGTTAACCCCTATCAATTAAACTATTATTTAAGTTTTAATTATCCTTTCATCAATTTAACTATTATCTTGCATTATAACAGCATATGTCTATGGCTTCTTTTTTTGATGCAACACATTACTTTGGCCCATGTTTCACCTAGACGAGGTCAGAGTGGCCTACCCTTATCAATCAGCTTTGGTCGTTTTAGCTCTTTAGAATGTACGTTTTCCAAGTTCAATTCTTTGTTGTTTTCTATACTCCGCAAGTTTACCTGGTGCTGAGTACATTCTACAGAGAGTCGGCTTGGGTCAATCAGGTTAGATAAGTATTTCTTACTTTCTGGCTTGAGTATACCCATCGCCGAGCCTGGAAACCACGCGCCGGATATCCGCGCTAGTCCTCCCACTGGTAGACAGGGCAGTAACCTGGGGGACGACGAGGGGTGAATTATAAACAAATATCGGAATGAATTCCCCAGTCCCACAAGTAAAGAAAAGAATAACAAACAGAAACGTCCTAATACAAAGAACGTTTCTAACTTATTTAATACAACAATCAAATCTTAGAAGGCATGGTCGAGGTTTTTCTCTTGATTCAGAGTCCTTCTACCGACCTATCTAAAGTGTCGCCATTTTTAATAGCCAAATGTATAGCCGGCCTGTGATCCCAAAGCTATCAAAAACTGAATTGTCGGGAACGTCACAAGCCATGTAGTCGCCAAACATTTGCCGCCCCCCCCCCCCCGGGCATTCAAATATCATTGATCGCCCCCGCGAGAGATGACTGATGATTAGGGGATCCCTCACGGGGGAAAATGGATCTGCAAAGTTTCAGGGATACCTCCCCGGTCTGTTTTCCCCTTTCTAAAGGGAACACATGGGGAAAACTCCAATGCAACATTGAAATTTTTCGCAGTTGTCCTGAGGCCTTTCGATGATTCCACATGGCTCGCGATGCCCCCGAAGCTTCCCTGGGACACCTGGGAACCTGTCTCCCGAGGCTCATCATTTTCCATCGGTAGTATCGCCGAGGCAATAAATGCCCAGTGGGACGGAGGCGTAAGTGCCGCCAATATGCCACCATGCAAGGGACTGAGATGTGCATATACAAATACGCCCCGCACCTTAAGCAGAATTAAGTTCAAACTTTTGTGCATAGCCTACTAATGCCTTAAAGGTGAAGCACCAGACTACTTATCCTCAATGCTTATTGATTATGTCCCCCAAAGAAATCTTCGGTCCCAACATGAACTACGTCTGGTGGTACTCAACTATAGACTTAAGACATTCGGTCATAGATGCTTCTCATACACTGCACCAAGCCTATGGAATTCATTACCCTTGACCTTAAAGAATTCACAATCACTTAGCTGTTTTAAGAGGCTGTTTATTAGTTGTTAACATTAACTGTTTTTTTTTTATCCTGTGATAAGTGGAGAGCTAAATTCGCATTGAGCATTAACTTTAATTGATCTGTGCGCACTATAAGAACTCACTATTATTTATTATTAGTAGTATTCTCTTTTAATGCAGAGGAGCCCATGGCCTTATATTCTCTTCGATTCTGAACAGGCGATTCCAAAAACCACGACTGAACCAAAACGTTTCAATAAACAATGCATGGTATAATTACAATTGCAAATCCTCTCTTAAAGAGCGTGGTCGTATTTTGAGACGATTAAAGAACCACCCGCCTATGGCGAATATTGCGGCATACAAAATGGTCCGGACGAAGGCCCGTAGAACCATACGTCAATCAAAGAAATCTTCGATGCAAGGGTATGTCTCAAAAAAGCATGGTATAATGACGATTGCAAATCTGCTCGTAAAGAGCGTGGTCGTATTTTGAGACGACTTAAGACCCACCCTTCCATATTGTTGCATACCAAACGGTCCGGGGCAAGGCCCGTAGAACCATACTTCAAACAAAAAGGAATCTTCACGGCAAGGTTTCGTCTCAAGGATTAATTATTGTACCAAGTCAGTATGGAGTAGGATTAAAGGTAAAAGTAGTACATTATCAGTTAACCATTTAATTGTTGATAATACCATCTTACTAACATTTCCTAATATGGCTAATTCTCTGGCCAGTCATTTTCATTCAATTCATCAGCCAATTTCTCCTCTGATGCCTTTCGGGGCATTACACATCAAAAGGGGACTAGGCGTCAAGTACCGCAATGATGAATGCTATAATAATAGTTTTTCAATTGCAGAGATTCGTGATTAGCTTAAACGAGGTCGCGATACGAGCATGGAACACAGCAACTGGAAGATAGGTCATTTAAGGTACGACTGGGATCAATATTCTCTGACCTCAGGGGTGACCTCAGGAGAGTATTTTATCTCCAACAGTCTTTGCAATAAAAATTAATACCGATCCAGCATGCATTTAACCAGGTACAACTGGCGCTTTTTTTGTTGATGACATTGGTTGATATGCTATGGCTATACAGACATGCGGATAAGCGAACGTAAATTGCAGCTTTGTTAGAATTCACGACAACAATGGGCAACCGAAAATGGATTTCGAAAATCGAAATCCAAGAATGTCGGCCTGCATTTCCGTCAGAACCGAGGTTTGCATCCGGATCCAAAACTTTTCTTGGATCGCAATCTCCTTCCAGATGTGGATAAAACCAAATTTCTGGGGTTAATATTTGATAAGAGTTATTCCCCACATTAAAAGCCTCAAAAAGAAATGTCTGAAAACCATCAACAGACCGTAGTGTTATGCTTCGATTATATCAAGCATTAATAAGTTCAAAAATCGATCATGGGTGTATTGCATATGGGTCTGCCCGCGAGTCTTATCTGAAAGAGCTCGACCCCGTACACAATCAAGGAGCATTGCATGCATCTCCAATGGACAGTTGTTGATACGTCGCGACGCACGAGTCCTCATTGCACAACCGACGTAGCATTATGCTACGAAAATAGCATCTTTACCATGGGCATTTATATCTGCTTAAAACTAACCCCGTTCCATCGTTTGGTATTCGCATCCAACCCCTTTTGTCAGAGGCTCTTTTCAGCCATGACAGTATTACGAATACCCCTTTCTTTGTGACTCCACCGTGGGTTATATCTCTCACAAAGATCGATTTCGATCTTATTCAACATTATAAGAGAGATACCAGCCCCACGGTGTTCCAATCTCTCTTTCGAAAGTTAAGGCCTAAATATTGTGATTATGCCCCAATTGTTACAGATGGTTCGAAAGATGGTGATCGCGTAGCTTCGGCAACCTTGACACCATCTTAGACCATCGTCTTCCATATTTACAGTTGAGCCCCACGCCATACTTCAAGCTTTGAAGTTCATTCAGTTATCTAATATACTACAACACGTCACATTTGCTGATTCTCTGTACCCCCCCCCCCCCCTTCAGGCATTTAACAATACAAAGCTTGAACACACATCGTCTTTTGCTGGCTCCCCAATCATGTGAATATAATGGTGAATGATCAAGCAGATTTAGCTGCCAAAGCTGCTTTCGATCTTCCCCTATCAATTATTTTATTACCATATAAAGATTTTAAAACATGTATAAATCATTTCATCTATAGCTGCTGACAACGGTCTTGGGATCTTGCCAAACTCATATAGATCCAATAGGAGAAAGAAAGTTGTTTTGTGTCTCGCTCTCGCATATGTCATACATTTTAACTCATATTTTCATCTTAAAACGAGAGCCTGGGCCTGAATGAGAACACTGTTAAGTCGTTCTGATAGATTGCTAGCATCTCAAAACATGTTAGATGCAAATGCTTCCGTTGCTAGATATCGTGGATATCGTCATATATTTGGCGCAATATGGACCGGTTAGAGCTGACGTGCCATGAAAGTACATTCATTCATTCTATGGTCTATATTATACGTACATCATAATCACATCAAAAACTTCGAATTCATGTCTGCTACTCAAGAAATTATCATACTCCAGGGGTGGGGAGCCCCCCCCCCCCAAAAAAAAACAGTCCCGTTCTAAAAACGGGCAGGAAGTACTTAGTCATTATTCCTGTATTAATTGAAATATTAACGTTTATAAAACCTGTAACAGATAGTATAAACTTTCTGATCAAGTTTTCCATATTTAGTATAGTATATATATAATTGATCTAGACATAGCAATTAAATTAATATAGAATCTTTCTTACCTGTTCTCACAGTGTATACCAATAAATAGATGAATGCAATTGTAATGAACATCTTCAATTCTAATCAGTTAATTCGTTTTGACTATCAAAATACCAAAATATAGTTACAATATATACCCTGACGATATTTTATAGGGTCGATGCTACAAAGATTCCATTGGATGAATCTAGCAACGTGACTGTGATAAACGGGAAAGACATATTCCATTGGACGAATCTATACGTCATTTATACGTTTTTATTATTTTCGTCACTTATACCCACTGCACACATATGTATGTATTTCCGCTCATGTTTCCGACAAACAATGTTCGTAATATATATTAATCATTACAAACATTAAACTAACACTTTATCACGCAATTAACATTCCGTAATTGAATATGTTTATTTCAGTTTGAGTTCATGCGTTCATATCTCTCCGTGTGAGTGAGACATTGGTTTACAGGGGTGGGGGGGGGGTCTCTTCCAGGCCTTTATAGTAGGTATACATACTCAAGTCAGTTTTTATAATGAATTACTACGATCACAATTCATCATGGTATTTACCTCTTTATGTATAACTTACCGGCCGAGCGAATTAAAGCTAAAGGCCCATAGGCGTAAGCGAATTATTGAAAATGAACCATGTGTTAGTCCCGAAATGACATAGTTTGTGTCCAGTGGACGTTATACCTCCCTCTCTCTCTCTCTCTCTCTCTCTCTCTCTCTCTCGGGCTAATTCAGAAAGGACATATTATTTGATTGGAGTAGCGGGGAGCAGATCTAATCCGATTGAATCCAAACCGGGACGTTATTTACCTTCCTATTATGAGTTCTTAAACATACATTATGCAAGAGCTAAATCTGTCTATTGCAGGTCTTTCTTTAGGCCTGAAATGTTATCGAAATTATTAATTAGACATTAATTAACTTATCCAGACCATAATCAACTCTAGATGGCATCGCTAGCCTGCGATCTTAACTGGATTGTGAGCCGATTTACTGCATAACTTTCCTTCTCGATTAAACGATTAAATAGATAATCGAGACTATGCTGTTTATCGTACTGACTTTAGTAATGATGACCGAGGCTAGGCAGAAATTTCATTCGCTTAGCTTTCGGTTCATAGTGGATCAATTTGAATGAAATTTTCAGCAAATTGCCTTTACGTTATCTAGTTTTTAACTATTATAGTGAGAACTGCCAACTCGTTATCGAATCTCCCATAATGTATCTTTAATTAAATAAAAAATAATTAATTTGATTAAATTTTATATATCGTTCAAAAACTGCAAATGACGCAAATTTAATCCATATGTGAGATGGGCATCACCATTTCGTGCATATCGACCATCATGTACTTGAAGTACAGGGAAGTGTATCAAAGTGTATCGTTTCGTAGTGTTTAATATATGTCTATGATATAGTATTCTTCCTCTTTATAATTGCGTATGATTAAATATATTTCTAAACGTCCTGGTTGCAGTGATAATTAACACAGCATCCTCGCAAACCAGGCATTAACAATGTATCAGGATAATTGCTATTGTTAGCTACGTCTACTTGCTAAGCCTACTAGAGACTTCTGGCAAGCGGAATTTTACCCATTTGTATCACTAATCCGTATCCTCACGTGATACGTTGCGTTAATGTAGTTTTAGAGCTTTACAGATTTTCGCGCAGTGTATAACGTATGAGTAGCTGAGCTGAGCTGAGCTTAGTTCTATTGCAGCATGATCACCATCAGTCAAGTGCCTAGCCTACAAATTACCATCCTCGGTATCACCAGTGTTTTCATTCCGCTCTACTCCACTATACCCTGGGTTAATCCATAGGGTTTCCACGATTTCAAATTATCTGCCCTGGCCTTGATTGTAGGTAAGGTCTACGAACCAATCAAAAAACAGTTTACAAACAAGTCGTTTCGCCTTCGATTTTATAAGGGTAATTGACCAAATTCATGTCCATTTACTGAATGATTTATGTAAACAATGCAGATATTTCTAATTCATTTATAATTAATTGTGGGGATACCGAGGATGACAAATTACTGGCGGGAGCGAAGTCGCTCGACAGTCGCTGGGCTATTAAAAAAACAAGCCAACAGTGGGGCTGTTGTCCCCCGCCGAAATCCTCAAATAAATAGATGACACATATTAATAAATCGCACATCTATTTTTTTCAAAAGTATCAAGCAATCAAACTGATTATTAACAATACACAAAGTTTCATCAGTCTCTATCAGATAGAATCCAAGTTATCTTGTCCCAAAGCATTGACCAAGGAAATTGCTTACATGAATCTCTGCTTAGCTTTAGCTCGATATGTTAATCATTGAACTCAGTCAAGACGAACATCTACATCAAGTTTAAACATACTACCCCAATTAGAAGCAGAGTTGTTATGTTCCAAAGTCTTGACCAATGAAAATGCTTATTGCTCCTTACCCCAAGCAGAAAATTCTCATCATCGAACTTAGTCAAGGTATTGATATAATGAAACTATACACCAAGTTTCGTCACTCTCACTTAATTAGAACTAAAGTTATCGTGTCCCAGCATCAACCAACAAAATTGCTTATCTCTGCTTACCGTAAGCCGAAAATGCTCATGTTCGCACGCCATCAAGGCATTGACCTGATAAACACCTACACCAAGTTTGTACATTCTAGCTCAATGAGAAGGAGAGTTATTGTGTTCCAAAGTCTCGGCCAATCAAATTGCTTATCGCTTTGCTTACCCTGAGCAGAAAATGCTCATTATCGAACTTAGTCAAGGTATTGATGTAATGAAACTATACACCGTTATAGTTTAATCGTTAAATCGAGAAGGAAAGTTATGCAGCAAATCGGATCATAGTCCAAAAAATATCGCAGGCTAGCGTTGACATCGAGAGTTGATTATGGTCTGGATACGTTAATTAATGTCTAATTAATACTTTATATAACATTTCAGGCCTAAACAAATACCTACAGTTGGCAGATTTAGCTCTTGCATAATGTATGTTTAATTACCGTGTTAGCCAACAATACAAATAATGTACAGTGAATTTGTTTTAAATAATGCACGTAAAACGCCTGACTTCTCTTGATTTCAAGGGATGCCATGAATAACGATAATACATTATCACAGTAGTATCGATGATCTTCGGCACTTAACATTAAAATATCGGCTTCAAAATATGAATCCAATTTTGCCGTAATAAGCTGACCGTACTAAATTCTAGGTAGTAGCCCATATATCATATATTTTAATGATTATTTCTTAATATTATAGTAGGTTAATATTATAGTAGGGTGAATTTGGACTCAATAGTAAATGTTTAATACGTCGTGCTAATCCGCACAGTATTACTCAGTTCAGTAAACTATATTTTAATGCACAAAAAACACATACTTATGGAAAAACAGCTACTTATTTATTTGGGCGACGTTTCGAAGAGTATTCTCTCAACGTTATCAAGCTAATACAGTAATACAAGAATAATGAGATCAATATATACAGAAAACTGTAACAACAATTCATGAAACCATACAGGACAACAACAAGATCAAAGGGGTTTATTCTACAAAAACTAATTAAGTGTGAAGAGTAGCCATTGAGTATAGTTAAGCAATTAGGTAGCTATGATGATAGATACAATACTACCGGCAGAAGGGGTTAGTACCTACAATACAATTATGATATACCATGGTTTGTTTAGATAATGGTAATTAACTTTATATGTCTGTGTGATTAAATGTACAATTAGACTAGAGTAACCCATATGTGTAATAATTCTAAGAAATAGAGTGGATATAACTGATAAATTGATAATAATATTAGAAAAATGAAAAATAATAAAACTGATAAAAATTCAAAGGTTTCTTATCCACTGTACTGTAGAATGAGTGGGGGTGATGGAAAACACATAATTTAGGTATATTTAATAAGTTCATCATAATATTATTATCAATTTATCAGTTATATCCACTCTATTTCTTAGAATTATTACACATATGGGTTACTCTAGTCTAATTGTACATTTAATCACACAGACATATAAAGTTAATTACCATTATCTAAACAAACCATGGTATATCATAATTGTATTGTAGGTACTAACCCCTTCTGCCGGTAGTATTGTATCTATCATCATAGCTACCTAATTGCTTAACTATACTCAATGGCTACTCTTCACACTTAATTAGTTTTTGTAGAATAAACCCCTTTGATCTTGTTGTTGTCCTGTATGGTTTCATGAATTGTTGTTACAGTTTTCTGTATATATTGATCTCATTATTCTTGTATTACTGTATTAGCTTGATAACGTTGAGAGAATACTCTTCGAAACGTCGCCCAAATAAATAAGTAGCTGTTTTTCCATAAGTATGTGTTTTTTGTGTATTGCTCTACCCAGTTACTAAATGCCTCTTAAAGATTATATTTTAATGGATCTTAATCCACCTTAATTACCCCCCATTTATATCTACTTCATATTGTCTTATATATCTCATTAATCACCTGTCTCCAGTATTCTTTGTTTTAAACTTTAAATTGGGCTTATAAATTATTATTAACGTCTACGGGCTATAGCGTTTTAGTTACCAGGGTATATTGTTTGTATAGAAGATAGATTTATAAGATTAATGCCCTAGGCGATGCATGGGGATATATAGACCCAAATGACAGAATTTGGGGGAAGTCTGCTACACACGTGTCTTGGGAGATCAGCTTAGATCGCATTCCTAAAGACAAACCTTATTTACCTGTATTTGGATATTTGGAGACATAAGTTTATGTCAATTCGCATTATCCACATTGGAGCTTATTTACTATTAAGCATTGAACCAATAACTTTTATATGAATTGTCTGCTGTTGATTATTGTTTACCAAAGAATATAGTAATATTAACAACCAATAAGATTCCTGTCTTCATTTAATCAACAATGAGAAATCCAGAAATTACACAAGAATTGCACTTTTACAATATACATGCATGTTAATTTATTATATCCATGACTTTAATATTGGAACTGACCTCAATGCTCCACACCAAATTTTTATACCATATATTGAAAACCATCCAAAAGAGAGAGAAATGGGGTTTAACGTCCAC